TGAAATTTAGGGAGTGGAAAACCCTTGTAGAAAATCAAACCGGTAAGATGGTCAAAACCCTTAGGACCGATAATGGATTAGAGTTTTGCAATAAGGATATGGACCAACTCTGTGTTGATTGTGGGATTAGAAGGCACAAAACTGTGCCCTATACTCCCCAACAAAATGGGATAGCCGAGAGAATGAATAGGACTGTTCTAGATAAGGTTAGGAGTATGCTTGCCACCTCCGGTTTGTCTAAAAAGTTTTGGGGTGAAGCAGTCAATACTGCTGTCTACTTGATTAACCGGTCTCCTTCTGTTCCCTTGGGTGGGAAATGCCCTGAATCTGTTTTTTCAAACAAGCCCCTTGATTTGTCTAATCTTAGAGTGTTTGGGTGTGCTGCGTATGTGCACCAACAAGGTGACAAATTGGATCCTAGATCTAAGAAAAGAGTCTTCTTAGGTTATCCTGAGGGTGTGAAGGGGTACAGGGTTTGGGATAGGAACCAGGTAGGTTTCAAGGTTGTGGTAAGTAGAAACGTTGTTTTCAATGAATCCGAGTTCCCTTGTCTGGTTAAGTCAGTTCCTGATTCTGAGTCGAGCCCTAGTAGTACACCTGTTGAGGTGGAGTCCATACCATATGCTGCTAGTCCTTTGTTTGCTAATCATGATTCTTCTAATTTGCATAATTCTTCTGAATTGCATGATTCTTCTGAGCATGATAATACCACCACTTCGAGTGAGGTGGAGCATTCTCATGTGCATTCAAATGACAATGAATCGCATGATGAGAGTGCTGATCCTAGTGATAATGTTTTGCATGATTACCAACTTGTTAGAGATAGAAGTAGGAGAGAAATTAGGAGAACTGCTGATAGCATGCCTGATTTTGCTTTCCATACGTGTGATACTTCTATGTTTGCTTTCTCTGTGTTTGAGACCCTTGAGCTTAACGAACCTAAAACCTATAGGGAGGCCCTTAAGTCTAATGAGTCCGCTAAATGGCTTTGCGCCATGGAGAGTGAGATGGAGTCACTTAGAGCGAATAAGACTTGGACGTTAGTTCCTAGACCGCCCAATAGTTCCGTAGTTGAGTGTAAGTGGCTATTTAAGGTTAAGGAAGAGCCTAACGACATTAGATATAAGGCTAGGTTAGTTGCTAAGGGATTTACTCAAAAGGAAGGTGTTGATTATGTTGAAATCTTTGCTCCTATTGTTAAATTCACTACGATTAGAACTATGCTTGCTCTTGTTGCTCATCATGATTGGGAAATGAAGCAAATGGACGTCACCACTGCTTTCTGGCATGGTGATTTGGACAAGAAAATCTATATGACCCAGCCTGAGGGCTTTGTGGATCCCATGAAGAGTAATTATGTGTGTTTGCTTAGGAAGGCCTTGTACGGCCTGAAGCAGTCCCCGAGGCAGTGGAATATCAAATTTGACCAGTGCATGTCATCTTTGAAATTTCACAAGTCCGAGTGCGACCATTGCCTATACTTTAAAAATACTTCTTCTGTGCCTGTATTTTTATTGCTTTATGTGGATGACATGTTGATTGTTAGTCCTTCGGGTGACGCCATTAAAGGTGTGCAAAAGCGTCTCAGTAAGAACTTTGCAATGAAAGACCTAGGTGATGCCAAGAGGATCCTAGGCATTAACATTGTTAGGGATAGGAGTAAGCGTGTGTTAGTACTCAATCAGATTTCATACATTGAAAAGATTTTGAGTAAATATAACATGCATTCTGCTACTACCGTCTCTATCCCTATGGCGTCCCACTTTGTGTTGAGTAAGGATCAGTCTCCCAAGACTGCTCCTGAAATTGCTAAAATGAAATTTGTGCCTTATTCCAATGCTATTGGGTCCGTGATGTACCTCATGGTGAGTACTAGACCCGACATTGCCTATGCTGTTAGTTGTTTGAGTAGGTATATGTCTAATCCTGGTTTACCTCATTGGAATGCTCTTAAGTGGTTGCTTAGGTACTTGAAATCTACTGTTAATCATGGGTTGATTTTCACTAGGTGTTCTGAGGGTGTTAAGTTGAGCGGGTATGTGGATTCGAAATTTGCTAACGATAGAGACAATAGGAAATCCACTACCTCTTATGTGTTTACCCTTTGCGGGTCTTGCATTAGTTGGAAGTCTTAACTTCAACCCATAGTTGCCCTTTCCACTACTGAGTCCGAGTATGTGGCCGCTACCGAAGCTTTCAAGGAAGCCATTTGGCTTAAACGTCTCCTAACGGAAATTGGTAGTCTTAATCAGAATATTTGTGTGTTTTCTGATAGTCAATCTGCTATTCAACTGTGCAAAAACCCTGTTTTTCATGATAGAACTAAGCATATTGATGTTAGATTTCATTTTATACGTGATATTGTTAGTGCAGGTGATATCAAGTTGATTAAAATTCCATCTGAATTTAATCCTGCTGACATGGGGACTAAATGTCTCTCTGTCGAAAAGTTGTTGTCGTGCAAGCGCACGTTGAACATTGATTGCGGTTAAGTTGCCTGGTGATCTTACCCGTTTGCCTGAATGTGTCTTTGTGATCATTCGGGCAATCCAGCGATGATGAGTCTCAAATTTGTGTTAGAGCGTTGTGCTCTACACCATTATGGTCCAATAAGGTGGAGAATGTGTTAGGTGTTGGCCCATTATTTTCATAAGCCCAACTCAACTTAGGTTTTCACCCGACACCTTGCTCTTTCTTCTTTCCGCACTACGCTATTCGTTGATGGCGATCGGCTTCTTCCCTTCGCGGCACTTTCCTTGTTATGGGCAGTAATTTGCGTATCTCCTTGTTAAGGTAAGTTACCATCCTTATTATCTTTGCTCTGCCTATTTATTCTCTCTGGTTCTCTGCCGATTTCTAAGCTTGGCTGAAACCCTTCTTCCCAAATAGCACCTTTGTGGAGTTTTAGTTGAGTTGGCTGAAAATACATTGAAGGTTGACGCCCCTTTCTTCCCTTTGAGACCGAATGGTTTGATTTCATCCTTTGTGGGTGTCAAAGAAGTGAGACCTGAGCTGGATTCGAGTTATTACATAAACTTTTTTTGTCTGTGAATTCGGTTCACAGACAATATTTTGTTTGTGCAAAACATTGTCTGTGAGTCGATATTCACAGACAAAAAAATCCTTTCACAGACATAGATGTGTACAAGAGTGTGTATAAGAGTGTGTACAAAAGACTTTTTCTATGTAAATATCCACTTCTTGGATTACTCAACCTTAAAATCTGGATCAAAGTCAACTGAAGTGACATGGAATATCCGTACATGTTGGCTAATTATTGACCAATCGCAGACAAGATTCTTCTTGGGTATACTACTACCTCCGTCCCGGAATTATCTCCTTATTTGACTGGGCACGGGTTTTAAGATAATGGGAAATGTGTGGTGAAGAGTTGTGCAGAGGAAAGAGAAATGTGTAAGAATGGTTGTGAACCACAAATTCTTTGCCAAAAAAAGAAAGAGGAGATAAATTTGGGATGGACCGAAAAGGAAAGAATGAAGATAATTCCGGGACGGAGGGAGTATTTCATTTAGAACCTCATACATTTTCATCTTTAGACTTAATTTTACATTTTCATTTTTGAACTTCTTTAAATAACAGATTTACCTAAATAGGAATAAATAAAAGCATAATTGCAATAATAGGAGTTTAATGTTTAAATTCCCAAAATAGGACTAACTCTTCCTATTCTACCCTTTCTCTTGTCCTTAATAATAGGATTTTTAAACAATCATTATAAAATATAAAAAATCAAAATAAAAAAATAAAAAATCGTAAAAAATAATTAAAAAATATATAGACCTCAACCACCACCTCAGCCACCTTCCATCACCGCCACCTCCGATCGCCGGAAAAGATTGCCAAGTTGGGGAAAAAATGTCATCATGATAGCAATTTTGAAGAGAAAGCAAGAGAAAGCTGGATATTTTCAAAGAGTAAAATTGTCATCTTTATGGCATTTTAAGAAAAATGTGACATTTTTTACACAAGATGACATTTTTTCCGGCGACCGGAGCCGGTGGTGCTGGGAGGTAGAGGATGCGTAGGCAGTGACCTGCATATTTTTTAAATATTTTCAGGTATTTTATTTTATTTTTTGGACTTTAAAAAAAATCTATTTATTATTTTTTTTTCACGTTTTCTTTATTATTTTATAAATATTTTATTATTTTTTATATTTTTATTATAAATAAAACTATGATTTTATTTTTAATAAAATAAATCTATTGGAAATTATAGGAAGGGGGTAGAATGAGAAAAAGAGATACTATCAATTAGGGAATGAGAAGTATATATTAGTCCTATTTTGGGAATAAAGGGATTATACTCCTATTATTGAATTTTAGGTTTAGTTTAGTCCTACTAAGGGCTATTTCCCTTTAATAAAATAGTTTACCCGTTAGAATTAAACCCAACCCTGAACCCTCCGTCTCCATGACGGAACCTTGGCCTTCTAGCTTGTTAGTTTTTTGGGTTTAATTCATTATATATTGGAGACTTGTTATTCATAATCAATATATTAAATATTATTTCTTCAATTACCTTGTTATCATATGCATATTGAGAGCTTTTGATATGTTACATCCACTTATAAATATCTTGAAGCATATACATCATACATCTGGCTAGATATGTAAATATGTAATCCGACTATATATAGTCTTATTACATTAGGTATGTTATAGTAAAAAAAATTCAATTGGATTCCTCCGTTCCTTTTTCATTGCAACAGTCAATTTTTCACGTTCACCAATACACAAGTTTGACCATTACCATCTTTCCTTCCTTATTACTAAAAAATTTAAAAAATTCAGATTTTGAAAATTTAGAATGAGAAGAACTTAACAATATTTTTTTAAAATTTAATTTATAATACATTAATAAATAAAATATAGTCAAACTAGAATATGTGAATACTGCAAAAAGTCCAATGTTGCAATTAAAAAAAACGAAGGTATATATGCACAACGTAACGTTCAGATCGTTTAAAACTTAAGCAATAAGCAAGCAAACCATTATTGTTATTATTATTACTCCGTCTTATTATGAATATACTTATTAGAGCTACAAGGGTTGTAGCTTACATGCAACATCACAGTTTATAAGTATACACGACACACTATATTCTGTATATAATAAACGTAACCCTAAGAACATAATATACGTAGAGCTCAAGGCTGCTGGGCATCTTGGATATTCTTCAGGTAGGACATTGCTTCTTCAGCGCTGTGGCAACAAGACTTGCACCCCCCTCCGTATCCGTGTCCACAGCAACCATGCTTGCATCCGCCACCTCCTCCACTCCAACCGCCACCGCCGCCACCATGTCCTCCCCCACCCCCGCCACCGCCACCACCATGTCCTCCCCAACCGTAGTTATACCCGCCTTTTCCGCCAGATCCATAGCCATAGCCTTCCGGTTCTGCTGTCCCCTGGTTTGCTTTGGAATTTACAAATTCTGCAATTTTTTATATTTTTTTAAAGTATAAAGAAACTGTTATAACTTCTTAAATTTTCTGACCAAATATCAAACGAGATAAATTAAATGAGAATATCCAACTTCATGAAAACAGGTAAAAAAGCAAAGATGACTGAATGAAATTGAAGCAAAGAATTATTTATATTATAACATACTATACATACCCTTGTTCTTCTCATCTTGAGATGTATCAGCGGCGAAGGCTGAGATGACAAGAAAAAGAGCAAACACAAACACGCAAATAGAGTTCAACTTCATCATATCTTTTGCTATATATTCCTAAATGTGTTGTATTGCAAAGCATAGGGATTATATGCTAGGTATTTATAGTACAAGATACATTCTATATATGAGAAGAAGACGAATATAATGCATTGAATAATAATATAATGATATCACAGAGACCTTAGCTGGTGGTTGGGTGTTGGGTTGGTTACATTTTTTTGTCTCCTCTTGCTTTCAACATATTATCGGAGTATAAGATAAACATTATCTTAGTTTTTGGTCAAATTTAGAATATAATAGGAGGGGTGAGGGGTGATTCTATATATAGTTCCATCTTATTCAGCATTCACCAAAACAAAAGAATGATAAAATGTTACCAGACCAATTTGCTCATACTCCTTCCGTTCCATTTTAGTTAGCCAAACTTGACTTTTCAAGTAAATGTTGTCTATGACCGATTATATGTTTTTATAGAGAAAATATTGATAATATGAAAATGATATGAATATGTTATTTGTTAAAAATACTATCATAAAAGTATAAAATTATTAAATTTTGCATAAATATATTAGTTAAAACAATTGGTCAAAATTTACCATCTTTGACCGGAAAAGTCAAAGATGGCTAAGTAAATTGGGAGGGAGGTAGTATAAGAGAATACGAGATAATCCGCCTCAAAATGGAGAAAACATGTCATTCTTACTTAAATAATACGTACAAAAAAATAGGACAAAACAAGAAGAGCTGGTTCGGTAACCATTATTTTGAACTTATCAGTCTTATAATCTAATTTTTTCACCAAATACGTAACTATTTAATTTCTCGAACTGAATTATGGAGTAATTAAAATAAGTAAGTTTAGAATTACTCTTCCAATTAATTTACTGCATTGGAGTACAGACAGGGGTGGAGACAGGGAGGGGCTGGATGGGACCTTGGCCCCTGCAAAAAAAAATCTTGAATACATATTGTGGGAGCCATAAATCTATAGTTAATGGGGCCGAACTTTGAGAATTTTAAATTGTGGGAGTCAAAGTTTAAAATATTAACGTATTTTCTCTAGATTCAAAGAATTTATACATTATATATATATATATATATATATATATATATATATATATATATATATATATATATAGGGCGCAGGTCCGATAAGAACAGATCTTAGGAGAGAAATGAGAACGAATCTGGACCGTTGGATTGAATTATGTGGAACGGAATTGTGCATTTGGTGAAACCGAAATGTGCATTAGATGATATTGAAATGTGCAGAATTAAAATTTAAACTCACATGTGCATTAGGTGGAACTGAAATGTGCAGAAAAAAGGTACAAAAGGAACATCACACCGTACCTTTTATTCTGCACATTTTAGTTTCATCTGGTGCACATTTCAAATTCACCTAATGCACAATTTAGCTTCACATAATGCCACTACATTGTATCATTTGTGCTGCACATTTCAATTTCACATAATACACATTACAACTTCATCTAATGCACATTGAATTTCACATAAAGTAAATCTAACGGTCCAGATTCATTCTCATTTTTCTCATAAGATCATGTTCTTATTTGAACCAAAACACACACACACACACACACACACACATATATATATATATATATATATATTATATATTATGTATAAATTCTCAAAGCTCGGCCCCATTAACTATAGATTTATGGCTCCGCCACTTAGTACAGACTATTTAACTATTTTCTTATATTTTTTTCTTAATGTGATTAATAAAATATAATGCGGAGTATAATTTAAATATTTTATTAATTTAAGAGATGTAGTTTATCTAGCAACTTCAACCAACTTTACACAATTTCAGTTAATTAAACCAATTTCAATGTTACCAAAGAGACTAAGTATTAAATTACTAACAATATACTCCCTTCGTCCCATTAAATTCTTCCCACTTTTCTTTTTGGATCGTCCCAAAAAATTCTTCCCACTTACGGAGTACCATTTTTGGACAATTTGTGTGGTTCACATTCATTTCACTTTTTTCTTACACAACTACAACCATACATTTCCACTTTATTGCACTTTCTTAATCTCCGTGCCAAGTCAAAGTAGGAAGAATTTTGTAGGACTTACACGGCTGGCGGGCAACCATCACAGGGCAGCCATCTCTGACGCCAGATTATCACCAGAATGTATCGCCAAACCTGATATCCGTAGTAGGCTGGAACGATGGTACACCGCCGCACTTGCCCTGATCTATTTTTCATTTACTTACTAATTACTACGTAGTTTATTAGTTATTCAAATATACTCCATATATTAGATCTTTTTACGGTTTTAGGATGTTCTTTCTGGACTGTTTTCATTCCTAGACCAGGTTAGATCAGATCGGATCAGGTCAGACTTCCATAATTATAAAATAAAGAGAGACCAACCATTTACTAGACCAGATCAGACCAGTTCAAACCAGATCAGACCAGATCATCAAATTTCAGTCCAAAAGAAAACATCCTATCCTTACTCAAATATACTTTGTACTATATTAGGAAGTACTCCATCCGTCCCGCTAATATTGTCCGTTTTTTCTTTTCGGTAAATTCACTAAGACTGTCTCATACCAAATTTAGTAAAGTTTGCGTGACTTTAAATTATTTTTAATTTATTCTTACTTTATCAATTCAATATCAACTACATAAACTCAGTTTTCTTAATAACCGGTTCGATCACCCTCTCTTATTCCAATGTTAGTGGGACTGAGGTAGTACTGTATATTGGTGTCCTGGAAGTACGAATATGTTTCGGTAATGTGTTTATTGTGTTAATAAGAGATTTTTCATCCTTCTTTCTAGATTAGTGGAAAACAGAAGAAATCAACAGGATTTTGAATTGGCTAAGTAGGCGAGTCTGATTTGTGGTCAGATTCTTCGTATGTAGTTGGAATTGAGAAACGAAGATGGAATTGTGGAATGCCAAATCCTACCAATAATGTTTACATGTGTCTTGGAGGGTGTGAATAGTTTTAGTTTGGGCTGTCAAATTTAAATGGGTTAGTAGAAGTTAGATTTGGGCTTTATTAATAAAACTACTTCGTAAAATTAATTAATTAGGTTGGTGAGAAAATACGGAGTAATTAATAGGGCAGTTGAAAATTACACATACTATATATTTTTATGGTCCACTTATTTCCACCAATTTCCAATGTATTTACGGTGGATGGTTTTATCAAATTAAAGTTTTTCAATTGTTTGTACCTCATACCATACCATTAAAATAATGACCAGATATTTGGAGTAATAATTTATTGAAATTGGGATATCAATTTTGAATAAGTTTATACAGTATGCGGATTAATTTTTTTCCTAAATTTAAAGCATATATAATTGTGAGTCCATGCAAGTATAATTCACTTTTTTATCAAGAATTGAGGGGATTCAATAGTTAAAATAGTAGAAAGCATCTAGGAGAATCTCAACTCAATTAAAGATGTGAGTTTTCTTAGAGATAGAGCTATTTTAGGATGATACAGAATCATCAGCAAGCCCCAATTTTTTGACTTTCATTTGGATTTTATTTGTTCGTGGAACATCAAAAGAAGAGAAAATCCAGAGCGATAACATATTTTTTTGGATAATCCAGGTATCGGGGCTTACGCTTCCATAATTTTGGAGTCTATGAACTACTCTCCAAAGTCCCTAGACAGTTAAATCCGGATTTGATCACAGTCAACCTCGTCAGTACTGGCTCCAAAGGACGAATCCAGTATGACTTACATCACCTTTCAGACTGCTCCTCCCACCACATGAACCCGCTACCTTCATTACCATCATCTCCCTTCTCATTCGCTGAGCAACTCCGTGAAGGTAGGAAGAATCATTAGGAGCAAGACCTCCCTCATCTCCCCTTGGTGGGAATTGAACCCAAGACCTCCCACAAAGGAGAGACTTGGGGGTGGATGATCATCCATTGGACTACACTCACCTTCCCAGCGATAACATATTTTGAGATGGGCTGTCGTAAGTGCACTTAAAAATGTACAAAGTCCATATTATTCTTTATGTCTTTTAATATGTTCACACTAGCTTTCAAGCACGTGCGATGCACGGACAGTATGTAATTTAGCTAATTTGAAATTTAATTTCCATCGAATCACATATAATGTGATTTAAAAGAAAAATAAATTTAGTCTAATATAGAGTCTGTTTGATAATACTAAAGTAAATAGAATTAACTTATTTTGCTGAAATTGATTGAATTTTGGTTAAATAGGTGGAATCTTCTGAATCATGAAAAATATATGTGAAATATATTCCATTTGTGAAACAAAGAAAAAAATTATATGAAAAAAAAAGTTAAATTGGTCTTCTACATAAGCATCTCAAGTAAACATAATTGTTATGAACCCAATAATAAAAAAAACTATATTTCTTAATTGTTAGATCTTACAGTTTACTCATTAATAATAACATTTTTAATTGAATTAAAATTTCGGGTTTGATTTGGTATGAATTAATATGGTCTATTAGATGTCTGTTTTTTTATGTGACTTATTGTTATAATTATTAAAGTTTGATCTGATTTAATCTGGAACTGAAATCAATCCAATTAAAAATAATCTATTAAAGTAAAAGTAGGAATTCGTAAACCTATAAAGATTTTCTAATTTGGATTAGGAATATATTTCAAAAGTGAAGGCATATTTGAATTTTAGGTGTAAAATAAAGAAACAATCAAAAAAATTTACTTATTTGGCTAAGCTAAACATATTTACTTGTGAAAATATATATACTTTATGTTGGTTATAATTTTTAACTTGATTTTTAATTATTTACTTATTTGAAGCTTACTAATTTATTAATTAATAGGTGTCAAATTAATAAGTAAACTAATTTGCATATTTGTTTCTATTTAATTCGGTGTAGTAAACTAATATAAATTAGTTTCCATATCAATAAACGTTATTAGAATTTCACTTTGTTAACCAAAAATTATTTTACTTATTTGAAGCTTACCAAATTAATTAAGGTAGATTTATAAGGATTTTTGTTTCCAAACCAATATGCAATCAAAAATAGAATCTAATAAAAACAAAAGGTATAAAAATAAGTAAATAATTGTTATATATAATGACATGGCAGG